GCTTGCTTGATTTATGCACTTCTAGTTTACACTTTACTGCCTTTTTATTTTTTTAATGAATCTTTATTAACTAATAATAATTAAGTATATATTAGAAACTTACTAAACTAAAGACAATATCACTTAGGGGTGTTCATGGGTGCGGGTCGACCCGCAAACCCGCCTACCCAATAATAATTGTTTGAAATATGCAAAATTATATTGAATTGTGTTATAGATTTTTTAAATTGAAAATAATAATTATTATATACACAACCCGTGGACCCAACCCTACCCAACCCGTAAATATCCGGGTTGATTCGGGTCGGTTTTTAAAGTAGAATTACGGGTTTGATGATAAACCCAACCCATTGAAAGTTGAACGGGTTGGGTAACGGGTTAAGGCGAACCCGGTCCAACCCAACCCGCGTACACCCCTCTTGGTGGTTGTGTTATTCGACCAACGTTGTTAATAGCAAACCCTGATGCTAAGTATGGACTAATAGGTGATACATTATCCATTGCATTATCTGCATACATAGAAGCACTAGGGTGTAGGCTTACCATCATCACATTTGGCATGCCATAAGGCTATTCTTTACCACTTAGAGGTAACATGAAATTCAAGGGGAAAGAAAGCCTTTAGTCTCCTCTCATATTTTGTGTATCCCTATGGGTAGTGAGAACACTTGTTATTTGTGGTAAGGATACCACCATTTTTGATGATATAATTGATGTTGTTATCTGCCTTATGACTGTATGGTTTTCTCCAATAGTGGTTGAAGTTCCTACATTGCTAATAGCCAAATATACTGATTGTTTTTCTATGTTGGGAGCATTGCTCTGAGGGGGAAGTGGGTTCTTAGTTGGAAGAGTCATTTTTGGAAGTTTCTTACCACTCCTCAGACACATACAAACTTAACAAATGAAGACATTTCATGTATAAAGAACAAAATAAACAACACAAAAGACGCAATACTTTTCTACAAATAATTTGAAATTCTTTGCACAAAAGAGTCCCATTGGGCGTGCCAATTTTTTTACTAGTGTTTTTAGTAAACAATCACAAATTTAGTTCACTTAAGACATTAACTCGAAAAATCTCAAAGATAATTTATGCAAAAGAAAAATGTGAAGAAAAGTATGTGTAACTTGGATTAAAACGCTTGAGTGATGATAAACTAGGTGCAAGCAATATGATTTGGATAAAGACAATAAATGATTAATAGAAAATATGACATAAAGTAAATGATTCAAATAAAAAAAAATTTTAAAGTTTAAATATTGGACGGAAGCTCTCATATTTCTTACAAAATATTTCTCTCTATGACTAGGATACTTTAGTTCTATAGAGAATAGGTGAAAAATTACGACCTTGATTACATGCATGAGCCTACATTATATACCACTACAATGATAACCGTCAACAACAGTTAAATTCTAAGGATCTGACATATATCCCACTACATAGGCTTCATTGCTCTAACTTGTTTCCACGCGTCTTCAAAGATAAAACTGTTAAAAACCAAACGCTGTGCTGATAACAACTTTAAACCTCATAATTGCCTCTATCGAGAACCCTTGATCAATCCCCATAATACTAAGACATCTTCGCCTTATATAGTCTTTAGACTTAAGAATATTATAAGTCTCATGTGGTAGGCGTGTCGACTTTGACATTGATCGAAGAGCTGCAACGTAACCTTTTTCGAGATTCTAAACATGTTTTGAAGTGAGAGTAATTATAATCTTATGGATTTGTTCGTGAGACTCATTCAAACCATTTTTTACCTCGACCTAACTGACAAGTTAGTCGAACCACTTAGTCGACATGGTTAATATGTTGAAGCTTTCAGTTGAAACTCTTGACACTTAGAATTTTTCAACATAGTTATTACCATTCTTTGTTGACTTTTAACCTGTTAGAATTTTCAGGCTAACATACACACATAAAGACGGATTGAAGGGGGAAAATAAATAAGTGAAACTTATTCAATTGTGAGGTCTTGCAATGCACTAGTCTTAATTAGAGAAACATTGTACACTATAAGGTACTGTGTATTTATGTGCAATATGGAACATTGTAAGGTACAATGTTTATAACTGAATTAAGGAACACCGTGTGGTACAATGTACTTAAGTAAAATGTGAAACACAATAATATAGGATGCACTTAAAGTGAAATATAGTACAACGTAAGGTACGATGTGTTTAGTGGGCTTGTCTAGCTTGCACCTCACATAAGCGGTTCTATAAATAGAACTCTTGTGCTGGAGTATTTGAGGCTTGACAAAATTATGTTTATGAAACGATATCCATATTTTCTCCCCCCTTCCCACCCCATTCTCTCTCTCAAAGTCTTCATTCGTAGCAGATAATATTGAGATTAAAGACACTTTGTTCGTATGGATTAGGTAGAAACATTGTTCATCTTTCAACGCTCTTTATAGTTCTCTAGATTTTGCATCAATGATTAATCTCTACAAAATGTAAATTAATTTATCACTGATCACATTCTCTAAAAATATATTTATATTTGGTATTTACATATACGGTCAAAACGTAATATTATCATATTGTTCATTAGGTTGAGAGATCACCAAACAAACAATACTATTGATATCACTATGTTGTTTTAAACACTGACAACGTTGTTCAGCGATAAGTGATAATATGAATTGATCACTACACAGTCTATAACTAATCATTAGTATGCATGTTGTTATAATAAATACAATCTAACACTAATCCTAACATTTCTCTATCACCGTTAAACTTCATTTTACTTTGTTATCATTTTCTGTTTGAAACATTTCTCAAAACAATCCTAAAACCATATTTTCTTAAGGTAGTAAAATTTTTCGAGGAGATGATATAGAAATACTCATTTCATTGTTTTTGTTTGAAAATCCATCATACTGTAATTGTTATGTTCACCAGCTTACATAAATTCATCTAAAGGAGTAATAAGGAAGGACCACGCCCTTTAAGTTTGTTTATGGTCGAGATGTTGCTCACCTGTCAGATTTAATTTACAAACTTTAAGGTTGCAAAGGAAAATTTATTTACTCGTACAAGATTATTGAAGTATGATGCATAACTAATTAAATGTTTAAATAATCTTTTGATGCTTGTATATCCGGCGTGTTTCTGATTTTTTTCCTGTATTTTTTTTCTAAAAATAATCTCTGGATGTTAAATTTTTTATTTATTTTAGTCTCTAAAATTAAAATTCAAAAAAAAAATCTAAAGAAAATCTATGAATTTTACTTTAAATACTAAAATCAAATAAAATTCAATATTTAAGTCTTTGGATTTAATTCAGAAAAAAAATTAGATACAGAGACGAAAAAAAGAAAGACATTAGTGAAATAATATTTAAGCCTTAATTAAATAATTTGAATGAGGAATAATTGTTAGCTTAAACAATTTAAAAGAAAAATAATGGATAGTAATTCTCTTTGGAATATGGTCTCTCAAGAATTTTTTATTATGAAAAGTATTTTCGAATAGTGCATATTTCGTTTGAGATATAGGTTCAAAATAGAACTTTATCTATAAATGGCCAATATTTAAAATTTTTCAAAACCACTGTTCATGAAGTCAACATTATGGATTGATATTAATAGTATAACATGAGTTGTGTTTGTTTCTCTCATTCTTAGTAAGAAATTTCTCTCTCTCTATTCAGAAACACAATGAAGAGTATAACGTATATATTAAACACTACTTATTCATTCCTTTTTGTTGTTGCAACTTGCAAGAATAAGGGATTTAACACTAAAATGGAACATTGTTGGCAATGGCGTACATCTTAAGTATAGAATGTGCAAGTATTGTGATTTTTGAAACTTAATAGAGCCGATGCTGCTGACTTATGTTGGCAATTTCTCAGAATTAGTTTCCAAATTCTGTATTGTTTATGAGCCAATGAAAAGACCCTTTTAGCATGATATTATGGAGTATTTGGATGTGCATAAATGTTAAATTGTGAGAGCAAAAAGAAGAATCAGCTACTCAGGTTTTTCACTCATCTATGCAAGTGTTGAAAGACTGGACAAGTGCAAAAATCCAATCATGTTTAACTACAACATCTTCAAGTGAAACTCAAATGCATTATTCTTAATTTATCACCTCAAGGCATGTCTAGTTTTGGTATGAGTATTTGCTTAAGATATGCTGGATAGAATTCATGCTACTCATACCAGTAGAGGGGATATTGATTTACTTCAGGAGATGGAGTGGACAGTAGAGATGAGCTTGGATAGAATTATTTTTTAAGTGAGTTGTAAGACATTGTAGTTCACATTCACTACTTGAAGGAAGCCATATCAGAATTTGGTTCTATTATACCGCAGTGCAAACCGATCTTGATTATCAAACCAAACTTTAAAGTTGAGATACCCTACTTTAAATAGTCCCAACTTTCACTCTTTTATTCCAATGGGTGGATACTACTTTAGAAGTCTTATTTGTAATGAAGAGAACATGATTTGAATTCTGTGAGAGACCAATTTGGGATGATGAGTAACTAAAGAATTAGTCCTATAGGCTATAGCTAAGTTCAAATGACAAAAATTTGTGAAATTACCTTAGGGTATTACTGGGGAGCCACATACCATAATTATGATAGGTTTCAATACAAATATTGTTTATTAAACATTTTCCAACTTTCAGAGCACATGGACGTTGTTTGATAAGTTGGGGCCTACTAAGTATAGAAAGCATTGTTTATCGGAAAATTTCTCATAATAGATGTTCTAAAACATGTGTGGTTTATGATACATTTTACAGAGAAAATCTGTTTCAGACCCTCTAGTAGATAGGGAAAGATGTTGGCATGGAGCTGTGGAATACATTTTCGAGCTCAAATCCAAACTCAACCTCACATTATTCGAGTTCAGAAGTTATTACTTGCAATGGCTATTATCATTACAACAGCATGATGCTCACAAATCAGTTTTGATGATACAACTCTGATCTTTATCTCCTCCTTGCTCTAATGGTGCACCCCATTTTATTTATTTCCTGCACATATTGAAATGTCAGAAATGGAAGTCTGTATGACAACTTGAAAAAAATTGTTAGTGAGCATACAATAATATAAGTCATCTCTGCAACAAGATTGCTCATATTCAATTAAAATGGCCAGACACGTAACATACATGACAAGGGGTGAGAAAAAAGGTGTGTTCTAAAATACAAGTGAGAAAATACAATATATAAAATATCATCATACACTTCAACCAAACTTGTTGGCAGTTATTATATGTATATTATGTAAATCACTTATTTTTTGACAAAATATGTCAATCACTTTTTTCGATAACCAATTATCAATTGAATTAACAATTAAAGTAGTTATTGGTATTACAATTACCAATTATATGCTACCATGTTAGATTCCTTTAATAGCTTTTTGTGAAGAGCTGGATTCATGATTTGCAGGAGAAGCTAAGCACAAAAAAGGAGTGTCTATGTTTTAGGTGTTGTGAAGAGCCTCAGGTTATACAAAGATAACCAGAGGCAGTGTATGACAAGATTGGGGCCTTATTCAATAGTGTAAACGGTGTGGAAAGTGTTAGTAAATCAGTAATTCAGTATAACACTCTTAAATTGCGGCGGATTTTATATTTATAGGTTTTCAAAATTAACAGTTGAATCAGCCATAATAGAAGGCTTGTGAAGTAATCTGTCACCTAGTCCTTGTCTACTTGTTTATTCAATGAATTATCAAACAGTAATATGTACTTTTTGTTTATTTAATCAGTAATAAATACGTCTGATTGCATTAGACATTTCAGTTCCATGTATACAAATGGAATTGAAATCTGGCTATCTTTACTTCTTATCCCTCTTGTTACTCCGCAAGCTAACCTCATTATTCTTTTGTTTTATTTCATTAATCAGCTTAGCAATAACAAACATATTTGGAGCGAATCTTTTCCCCAAATGAATATTTTGAATTTTCCAAGTTATTATTCTCCTCACTTGTAATTTGAGTTCAGAACTAGAAATAGAAATCTACCCACCTTTCCGGTCTTCACACAATTGATTCTATTACTAGATATAAATGATAACTTTACAGCTATGACTTCATCCAAAGAATTTCTATAAGATGATAGGCCAATGAAACATACCAAGGAAGTTTAAAAGTATCTTTCCACCATCCTTGTTTTGAGCAATTTGCAACAATTCTGTCCAACCGGGCAATAACCTGAGAAAAAGTTGGTCTGACAACAGGTTCTGGATCCCAACATTCCTCAATCAACCTGCACACACCATGATAGTTAGACAACTTCTAAACTAATGCCACACTTCAATTGAAGACCTGATTTTTATTATGAATTACTAACTCTTTCAAATCGGGAGGATAACTTTTTGTTTTGATTTTGAATTGCGGTCTCTTCCCTTCTAAACACATAAGTTTCAAAACTTCCTCTGCGGGTTTGGGATGGAAGGCTGGTACACCCTCTATCATCTATGTCATAAGATTTTTTTAAAAAAAAAGAGCAATTAATATAAAACAATATATGAAGATTAAAATGATACAATTAAAAAATACCAATGCCTCAAAACCAAATAATCTTGATGAAAGGTGACACTAAATGCATTTCGAAAAACTACAAAACAGCGTGATTATGAACTTGATCCCAACTAATAAGCGCACTAAATAGCACTGTAAACACAAATAGTCGAGACAATGTTACCGTTTAAGTCCCCATCATGTCCCCCGGCATCTAATCCCAGCCCATTTCCTTTCTAAGTATCAACTCAACTCATGACCTTGGCTTTAATACCACTTGTAATTGAGTTCATACCAGAGCCAACAACCATGACACTAACATTTTCCATTTAAGTGCATTAAACAAAGCATTTCAATCATGGCCTTGTGAAGGTAAAATAGTGGCCAGAGCCATGAAATTAGAATCTTACAATAAAACACAATCTTAAAAAATGATGAATATAGAGTATGAAACATCATTAAACATTAACAATATTATGGGCGCAGCAAAATACAGGTACCTCATATACAATGAGACCAAAAGCATATGCATCCACACTTCTATCAAACACATTACCATTGTAAATCTCCGGTGCCACGTATAAGCCTGCAAATAAATACACCCAAATCATGAACCATGAAAAATATTTTTGGTGACTCTAATCTTGAAATATTTTTATAAGGCTGACATAAATATATAATAATACAAATCGCTTAATTTTCTGAAAATGCCTATCCCGTTTCTCTTCTTTTTCTTTCAGAATGATAGTCCCTCCTTATGCAGCTCTTCAAAGTTTAACTATATACTGTCAGATCACTGATGACATCTTGTCATTCAACTCAAATACTACTTCAAAAAAAGGTTGTATTGAGGGCAAGATGGAGAAATCAAGAGTTCATTTTTTCTTGTTACTTGCATTTGATGTCCACGGGGACTTAAATTTTGAGACGGAACGAGTATTTGAATTACTAATCAAAGAAAACACACAAGTACCAGATTTTTTTTATAAGTAATGAAACCTGTAAGGCAGTTTCAATTGTTGTAATCTATACACAAGATTCCACACTCAGTGTCCAATTTCCACTTGTTAAATATTATATGACATTGTTAGTTACTCATTTGAAAAAAATATAAAAATAAAATGTCCAATTTCTTTTAATAAAGGAGAGGCAGTTAGAGAAATGTACTCTGTCTCACGTAAGCAAATAACACAGCCATTTCATTGCACATAGCACACCCTAAATGTCAGTCATGTCCCCAGCTAAAGAAGTGGAGAGAAAAGGGTCAAAACCTCAAAACCATATGACCCTTTGCAGCTCCACGAAATGGAGGGAAAAAAAAGTGCATGGTCAAAATCACCATGGCTTAAATAACGGGCCATCCCATAAAATTTAACTCTCTAACCCCCTGCTACCCCCACTAAGCCAACTCCAAGCCCCTGCAAGTTTTGACCTAGAAATCAAAGCAGATATCGAACTAAAGACACAGTCAGATCTAAGGGGCAATTAATCAAAATTGTCATCTCCAACCTTAACATGTATGCTTAATTCATGCTTAAAAAGGAAATTCCCGCTGTACTCACAAATCTTGTATGTTAAACACCCAGTTATAATCAACTGAACATTAATGCAAGAAAAAAGGATACGGAAGAATAAAAAAATATAATCAATTTGGATGAAGTCCAATTAAAAGAATGAAAATACTTAAAAACTTACTTGAAGGATCAATGTTGGCCTCGGGCTGTACTAGCATTGCTTTGTCATGTGAGATAAGTGAAAACCTCACAGTGCCAAATCCAGCTACCTTCAATTGCCCTCCATTATCCAGCAAAATATTTCTGGCACCTTACCGAAATTTCGTATATTAAAGGAACAGTAATCCCAATGAGAAAAATATAACTTAAAATACACTCATAAGCAATACCAGATTGTATTAAGTGGTCTTACTTTGGCTTTAAATCACAGTGGATAATAGGATCTGGTTTGCATTCGTGAAGATAATTCATGCCCCTGTCAGCAATAAATTTAGAAAACTATTACCAACAGCCTGGACGAATGTCCAACAAATTTACAATTGGTGCAATATAAACTAGCATGCTAAGGAACGATAAATGCGCCTTTTGGAAATCCAATGACCATATAAGGGATAATATATATTTAAAAAGCGATGTGAATGATTTTCCAAAGATTTGTTCACAGAGATTCCCTGCATTATAGTCGCTGAAAATAATTACTTACCTAGCAATATCAAGAGAAAACCGTAGAACTTTTGATGGGGACAAACGCCCTTTCTTTTGAATATAACCTGTTAAGTCACCCTGTGAAATAAACATCAATATGAGCAATGAAATGTTAGTCATGTACAACACTGCATTTCAAAATTGTGTTTCACTATGCTACTTCCACTAAATTTTTTCCATTTGCTAAATTTTACCAGCTCTGATGCTCCTCTTTGTCAGCACAGTCTCTCTATCTCTCCTCTCTCCCACACCCCACCAAAAAAACTAAGCAAAAATCATGATCCATTTGCAAAGAGAGAGAGGTTAAGTTACCTTAGCATGGTACTCTCGAACAATCATCATAGGTATGTTTTGGGTGACAGCTCCAACAAATTGGACCACATTAGGATGACGCACCTTTTCCAATAATGTGAGCTCATGTTTGAAAACATTTCTGAGTGAATTGTAGAAATGGTCAAAATTCAGCACCAATGTTTAGTAGTAAGTTACAGAAACAAGCAGCAATTCAGAACATACATGACCAGATATCAAAGTCAGAAGTAGTGGGTGATATGTGCATTCGGGAAAAAACTTAGTCAAGTATAAAATAATTTGCTTGTGTGGCAAGATTTGCAAGAAACATATCATACAGACATGTTCAATAGCTGAGGTGAATACATACATTGTATCAGGATCTGAATAACTGTCTTTATCAAGTATCTTCACTGCAACCTTTGTGCCATTCCACTTAGCAACTTGATATGTCCCCTGCAAAGAAATTGATCAAACACGAGTGAATAACTACACAAACAAGTAATTTTTATATGTACCATTAATTAACTAATTTGTGTCACGTGTTTTTATAATCTCAGTTCCATAAAATATTGCATATTTCATTACACATAGCACATCAGCACATTAAGCACCAACTATTACCACATCAATATTTCACTTAAGGAAAACCAAACTACAAACATTAATCGGAAAAGAGAAAACATAATATTGAAAAAATGATTCACATTATAGCTATAGAGAACCCAAAGTAAAGATTTAATGTGTTGTAGTAACCATCATTTACCAATTTATTAATCATGCATAATGCATTACTAACTGAAAAATGTTGGAGATCATCATCACCATTTGACTAATATGAGAACAAATAGTTTGGCTAAGAATCAGAGAAAACTTGTCTGAATTGCAAACATCTATGTACATTTCTTTAGCGAGCAGAATGACAAAAACAAAAAACAAAAATATTAAAAGAAACATACCGTTGAAATACCATCACTCTTCCGAACCTGTAGTTCTAATGGATTGAGTTCATATTCGGGAACTTCACGAGGATTCGCAACAGTCATTGGAGTCTTCCTGGTTTTCTAATCACATCAAAGATGATAATCAGCAAGTCTCGAAATTCAATAATACATCATATTTTTACATTAATAATTACTAATAGATAATAAAGATTCAAAGAAATGTACCGTACCGGCACTTTTGCTCCACGTGCCTTCAACATATAATAAACTTCTGTATTTCCATAATATTTAGCATCAGCAGCAGCCTGCAAAGTGCAGAATTAAAAATTCATACATCACACGTTCATAAATAAAAAGTTAAAATGAACTTCAAAATTTCTCCCCTCTCTCATTATCTTATCCAAATAGTATATATTTAAATTGTAGTCACCAATTGCAATCGCCAAATAAAGGTTTAAAAGGTAATGGCGGCATCGCAACCGTAATTGCGACTGTATCAACTGTTTTCCCCCCATATTTTTCCGCAACATTGAAATTTCAAAATTAACTGCAACAGTGACTGTAACTTTGTTTGTAATAATTACTACGGTAATTTAGAACAATGAAAGTGAAAGGAGGCAAAGAATTTCAAATAATAATATGATGATCACGAGCTATTTGACTAATTCAAAAGAATATTATAGGTAAGTAGACACAAAAAATTCAAATAATAATATGATCGCGAGCTATTGACTAAGTCAAAAACAAAGAATTCAAACAAATGAACAATAATATGATTACGACTCACGAGCTAATTGACTGATTCAAAACAGTTGGAATAATAATAATTGTGAAATACAAAATTACCGTACTGCCCCAACGATCACGAGCGTCGAGGTTAGCCTTACGGCTGAGCAATAATTTAGCAACTTCGACGTGACCTTCGCAGGCGGCGACATGTAGAGCAGTACGACCATCGAGATCAATGCTATTAACATCGATGCCTTCGTTAAGCAAATCCTCCACACCTTTAACGTCACCACGGCAAGCCATAAAGAGAAGCTGCATGGTGGAGTCAAGATTCTCCGGCACGGTGAGTTCAGCCTGATCTTCGCTAGTACTCCGCCGGATCGGATCAAGCGAAGATTGACGACCGAAGCTAAACCGGAGATTATTCCGGCGCGGATCGAGCGAAGCCTGACGCGTGAATTGTCGGCTTAACGTCTTCCGTAACGAACCGGAGGAGAATTGGCGCGAGATGCCGCGCTTCAATTGCGCGGCAATGTTTTCCATGTTGAAGATCCAATCTAACGGAGGAAGCTATCTACATGTTCATCAAGAATCAATTCAAATTAAATCGATTATTATAACTAAATATAATAAATTGATGGATGAAAGGAAATAAAGCGGAACTTACCGAGGCAAAGAGGCATGAGAATGAGAATACAGCGAAGAAGCTGTATCTCACACATTTGCGCGAAAAAAGCCGTTTATGTCTCTTTCTTTCTTTTTTTTTTCTTTTTTGATATCTTGCCAAGTGCGATGCTTTCGTGTTTTTGCCGCGATTGTAGATAGAGAGAGCCTTTGCCTTTGATTGCTTGGTGACTTGGTGTAATGGGATAGGTTGTTCGTTGGTTTTGACAGTTGACTGGAGTCAAGTCACTATGGGTATCATGAGTTTTTATTTATTTTTAAATTAGATTCAATAAAAATACAAAAAAAAAAAAAAAACTTACGTAGTGTGATGTGTTTTATTTAATTATTATGGAAGTTAATCGGATAATATTGATAATATTGAGTGGATCTATTTGGATTTACTCGGTCATATGAGTCACATCTCTTTCTGGCATTCCAGTTAAATAGTTGGACCACTTGCACATGTTGTTTTAGTATTGTTGCTTGCATTAAATTTATATGTTCCGCTATAAATAATTTATTTGAACTTTTTAAACAAACCTTTTGGTAGATTTTTTTAAAAAGAAGTATAATAGGAAAAAACAAATAATCTTTAAAATTATTATTAAATAGTAGTGTGTTTATTGTTAGAAAATGAAAATATTAACTTAAAAATATAACAAGTAATATTAATTAGAAATATAGTTAAGAAATAGTAAATATTTGATGAGTAATTTCATTTTGAAAATGACACTCGTTGTTATGAAATTAAATGCTAAAGTGTTTCAGTATTAATCTTGCAGGTTGCCTCTCCTTTTCACTGCATCGGAAGCCTTGTATCACCGATAAATCGTGAATTCATCTTTTTCAATCATCATCTAGTTTCTAAGCGAAACATTAGCGTCTTTTATGGGAATTGATTCTTGATTTCTGCAATTTTCCACGACCTAACATTTTTCGATTAAACTGAATCACTTCTGATAGAAAGCCATATATCCTTCAATCGAAGCACATGTCTCAGTTTCTTGATCAATTTTGTCAACATCATATTCATACTCCTTCATTGTATCCTTCAACGATGGTAGATTCTAAAGCTACTTGCTCCGTCGTCCAACACCAAGCCGCTGAAGTTGCCAAGAATCCTCTACATCCTTCTCACGGGACAAAGGATCGAGTTTTAACAACTACTCCTCTTGTTCCTCCGCCACAAATCTCTATCCAACCTAGAGTAGATCAAGGAGCGTCTCAACCTCTTCCATTCCCCGAATCTACACACCAATTCTACTTAGGAAAACCTTCGTTCAAATCCATACTACCAACTACATTGACCATACGAGAAATGGTCCTCATTTTCCAGCTCCTGCAGGCTAATCTTGGGTTACAAGGAGGCAACGAACTGTTGAACAATATTTATCAAATAGTTCAACAACAAAATTCGCAAGCCTTTGATGGAAAGGCTAACTCGGATTGAATAAAGTATACACAACACAAACTCGAAGAACAACCCTATGCAAGATGCACCTTTGCATAAAACTGACATTCTTGAGTCGATGAGGCATCTATAAGAAGTTCAAAAATCTCTAAGTTGCCGACAAAATAGACATCATAATCCTTCCTCTGATCCTGAAGGAAAAAGAGGTAGCCACGTTCCTTCTAAATTCCACCATCATAAGATGAGGGAAAAGTATAAAGATGATGTTCTCTATTAATCGTGGAAGAAGAATCAGTTGTCCACTCACATCTTGGATAGCAAAATCCCAAAGTCACTTGAGAAGCCTCTCAAACTCTAAAGTTATAACTAAGCTAAAAATCCAGATGAGCACGTCAATCATGTAGATGACCGATTGGACTATTACCAAGTCGACGAAGACGTGAAGTGTAAGCTTTTTGCACTAATATTAACTTAATCAACTTTAGTTTGGTATAAATCTCTTACGAACAAAAGCATACATTATTGTCTTACCTGAGTGAGGATTTCACCGCCCATTTCACCACCAAGAAGAGACAACTAACCATAATGGTTATACTTATCAAGGTCACGCATGGTAAGAAGGAAACCATGTGAGGGTATATTGACTATTTCATCAAGGTGGCAGTACTTGTTGGATGCTCATATGAAAGCTTGAAGTGCTTGATCTTTTAAAAGAGAATCAGACCGGAGTGTGTATTCCGGTAGAATTTAGGGTGTAAGGAGTCCCACAATCTGAAATATTTATTAAGTAGGGCGCAACCCTACATCAACTATAAGTACTACAAGAAAATTGGCAAACTGTAACGATTCATTTTGGCAAGTTACGACGGTTAGGACCGTCGTAATTTGCAGGTCATGACAGTTGTTGTTGTGTCGTAGAAACGTGCGCCGCGAGGTCGTATTGCAGCGGTTGTTAAAACCGCCACACTAACCTTCGTTATCTCTCACGACGAGTAGCTAACTAATGTAATCTGCATATTGCGACGGTTTCCAACCGTCTTAACTTTCTGTTTGATTTTGTTTTTCATTGTTGACTGTAATGGTTACCACTACTAGAAATACTCTATTTTTCTATGAATTTTAGCTAAAATTTTGCAGCTAAAACCTTCGTGGTAATATTTTCGGCAAGAAGATCCACAGGAAATAACAGCAGGTAAATCCGCAGCAAATGTCGAATTAAATTATTTTAAATTTTAATAAATTTTTAAATATTAAATTTATATTATGGTTATTTTAATAATTAATTTAATTTAAAATCTTTTGAATTTAAAAAAGACATCTTTTGGATTTAAATAAAACAAATTCAAATTCATAGAAAGTCATAGAAATATAGTCAATCTTTTTACATTCTCATTAATTTACACTATACATGATGCTAATAGCTTAGTAACAATTTAGTTTTTAGTTGTGATAATGACTACACAATCTAATGCAGGGTATCAACAACAACAATATTACCACGAAGTAGGGCAGTGTTCAGTGGCTTCCGAAGTTATGCCACCCGAGAACCCTGGGCGTCTCGAGGAGAATAATATGGTGAGGTTCAGGATTAAGCATGTGCTTACCTTCGACGTGGATGATGGGGGTAGAGGTTGAAGGCACCCCCTTGCAGAGGAAAAGAATAAATGGGAACAACTATACTTTTGATCTTGGGTCTACCTCTTCCAGTCTGAGTCTGGACGCTAGAGAGGTAATCTGACACTGTATTTGTTTCTTATATATTCTAAATTTCACCTCTTATCTCACTTTTGTCATGCATATTTCTCCCGATCCACCACCGTTTCCAACTTCTGAAGGTGGGCCAAGACATGCTCCTTCAACGCTTGATCCTAGTTCACAACTCGAGATCCCAAAGGAGTTGGTAGGCAAAACTATTGCTCCTTGTCACGTTGCAAAAAATACCTGAGGGCATCGCACGCCCAAAAATACAATAGAGTCGCCACTTAATTTTATTTATTCTAAGATAAAGAGAAAATATCATTAAAACTCAAAGGGAAGATAAAAGGGTACAAAAGAACAGAGTCGCCACCTATCTTTTTTATTACCATAGAGGGAAAAGGAAAATATCAAATAAACCCCAAAAAGAAAGGATAAGATATAGTCATCGCAACCAATATATGAGTTCATGGGTCGATTACACAAATGGAAGGTATTAGTACCCCTCACGTTTGTTGTACTCAACGAGAACCATTTAGTTAGGGTCGAAAGAAATGTTAGCTTATGTTAGTTTCTGAATCTTCTACTTATTAAGATAGAAAAAGAGAGAAGAAAAGTGTTTTTATATTATTATTAAGAGAAAGGGAACCTAAAGAGGTTTTTATTATTAGGGTGTTCACCAAGACTTCGCAGTTAAATGCCTATGTATCCTTACAAGAAAGAAATCAGAGCAATTGTAGTTCGGGGTAAAAAGAGTTTGTTTGTTGGTAGATTTTAGCGAAAGATATTTAGTCGCATTTGACATAAAATATTATTTTACCCAAAATAGGTGAGGAGCGGGTGTTTGTGTCACAATAGAATGAATTAACATTCACGGGAGACGCCTCTTATCTCAACTAGAATTAGTTTGTGGACGAAGTAATGTTTTGCATCGTCTCAAGACACAATATATTTCATTTATGAAAAAGAGTTTTTAGGATTAATCGCACGAAGGAGAGAAAAAATGGTTTGATTAGTTGGATGTGTTTTAAGTGAATGACGAACATTTGATCAAATGTTCAAAGAGTTACGCCAGAATGCTAGATCCTAACGACCCTTATTCATTCAAGTTGTTATCAAAATTATTTGATGGACAACAAACACTTGATGATAATAACTTTCTCAAAGAGTTACGCCAAGATGCTAGATCTTAACGACCCTTATTTGTCCAAGTAGATATTAAGTGTTTTAAGAACGAAAGAGATGAATGACCGGCTATCCTAAAGTGTAAGACTTGAAACCAATCATTCAAAGGTTCCACTATAATACTAGATTCTAACAATCCTCTTCTTTTGTATTTATTAAGAAAAGAGTTTTAACATGGTGTCTGATTTGATTTTAAAAAGGGGCTTAAAAGCGATTTTAAAATGGTTTGAAAGAATTTGAGAAATAGTTTAAAATTGAAATTGAAATTAGAATTGACAAAATGTTTTGAAAATAATTTGAATTTAAATAATTAATAGTAAAATGTCATTGAGATTAGTGTGAAAAATAAAAAGGCTCGTTGTAAAGTAGCCCAAGAGAAAATCGTACGTGTGCAAGTGTCCTAAACTAAACAGTAAACAAAGAAAAGTTAACAGATATTTTTTAGGATTTTCATTTTTATGATGTTTTTGTATTCTTCAATAAGATGAGGCATAAAGAAAAGTTAGCTGACAAAATAACAAGGATGCAAGAGATATATGATAATGATGAGCAATGAATGACAAGAGTGTAAATTATGAAACAGTGA